TGCACAAAGCAAGGTCCATAAAAGACATGGATGAGGGAGTTTGGGGTGGAGGAACTTGACTGGCATGCACAGAGTCCTGACCTCAACCTGATAAAACACCTTTGGGATGAATTCGAGCGGAGACTGCGAGCCAGGCCTTCTCGTCCAACATCAGTACCTGACCTCACAAATGCGCTTCTGGAAGAATGGTCAAACATTACCATTGACACACTCCTAAACCTTGTGGATGCCTTCCCAGAAGACTTGAAGCTGTTATAGCTGCAAAGGGTGGGCCAACTCAATATTGAACCCTATGGACTAAGACTGGGATGCCATCAAAGTTCATGTGCGTGTATTTACTGGACTTTGTAGGGGGACTAAGGGAAAAACTGTAGGTTCAGACGCACTTATGTATAATTGCTGGATCACTTATTTTTTTTAAATAGGAGGCCATAGTTCTGCCCAATTCTGCCAAGGACTGGTTCAAATAACATTTGTAATCTACAAATATAATTTTTTCATACTAAAAACTCATATACACCAAAAATCATGCAATTCAATGTGAATGTATAAGTGCATTTTCATAAATTTTGATAACACAATAAGTTGGGAGAAATGGATCTTAATGAAAGCAGCAGATTTTCTAATATCCGTGTATTTTGCCAGTGCTGGAAAAAGCAGCAAAATGTATGACAACAAATCTTGTGACAACAAATCTTGTGACAACAAATCTTGTGGCAACAAATCTTGTGGCAACAATCCTCAAGGGATGAGAAAGCAGAGTACACACCAGCTGCATTCATTCTGGTGAGATAACGTATTAAACAAGCATTTCCCAAACCTGTCTGCAAGACTAACAATGTCACCATGCACATGTGAAGTAATAAGCGTCTCGGCAATACAATTTTGCTTATTTTCTGGACTGGGAAACCTTTTGCTTAATAATCATTTGTTATTTTGCCAATTCATATTAACAGCATTCAGCTGTAATAAACCAAAATCACTGCTATCAAGGATTTATTTTCCAACGTCTCCACCACTTGCTTGATTTACCAACTTTCAAAGCCCATCCGATATATTAGTAAAAACACATTACTTTAGTGAGTCCCTTCTGGTCAGCACTTTTGTAAATAGAATAGTGCAATGAGTGCATGCCCCTATGTGATTGTGCACTGTTCATAAGGTAGGCCAGAGAAAGCTGGATAAAAAGCAGAATATGCAGTACCAATATTTTTGGGCATCCATCATTTTGATGACCTTGCAGCTTTTGAGAGTCTACACAAAATTAAAGAGTAAATCCACGTTTGGAGAGAACAGAAAAAAATCAATGCTCTCTGGGTGATCAATGTACATTATTAGGGTTTTAACCAACTAAATCAATGCTCTCTGGGTGATCAATGTACATTATTAGGGTTTTAACCAACTTTGCTGCAGCATGTCTTTTCCAAACTGATTCTGAATGGGGGGCTGGGTTAATTATAATCAGTTTGTGGGTTTCCTGTGTTGTAATAGGGAAAGGTACAGTGTCGGCATCCCTTTAATAGTAATTAACACAGCCATGGCTTCATCAGGAGGAACATATTCCAATAACTATACGGTAATATCGAGTGCTATTAGAAAATCATAATTCTATTACAGAAACATGATTATTGGCACAATGTAAGCATACATAATTTAACCCTTTAGGACCACAGGCATCCTGGAAAAAGACTGTAGTAGCCACAGCTATCACAGTGGTTTACAGTGATTTTTTTGGGCCCCGTCTATCACTGTGCTGAGTGATGTCCCCTCTGCTGTAAAAACACAGAGGGTCACCTGATCGGCACAGAGGCCATTCAGCAAACTCCTAGTATTTTTGTCAATGAATACTAGGTGTTTTCTGATTTGACAAGGGGCTGGCTGTGACATCACTGCCCCTTCCATCCTGGAGGCACAACAGTCAGAGGAAATCCCTTCAAAAGTTATTTTAACATATACTACTTTGGCAAAAAGGTCAATCATGGCTCTACTGCATTGCATTCTGTTGTTTGCTCATCTAATATTAGCAGCTTTTTGACAAAAGGAGAGAGCAAAGTGATGACCTCCTCAGAGTGCTTCCACACTCGACTCACAGGCTGGGGGAGGTCCTAAACCAGGATATATTACCTAACTGCAAAGTAGCCATCATAGGCGCCTGAAGGCATGTGGCACCTGGGTAAAAAAAACAAAACCACGCACACAAACTTCACCTGTGTATTTCGCTCTTAATTCAGCCTTAAACATTGTACTTATATTTTGCTTTATTTACATCTACATTTACTTCTAACAGAAGTCACCAGTAGCCAGGTTGAGGCTGGTGCAGGTTGTGCAGAAGAATGTGTCCAAACTACACATTAATTTGGTAAATTGTGCACAAACTTCACACCAATTTGGTGCACGGGTGTGTTAAATTTGGCACAGAAACTGCAACAATATGCTGAAGTGTCACAAATCGTAACATTTCACATTTGGAGCAAAAGTTGCACCTGCCCATTAAAAAAAAAAGGTTACTTTCAGTCAGGCCAAGTTATCTGCACCTGAATTCTGGCACAGATACAACAATACATTCTTCCCATTGTCTCTAGTATCTGAGTAATAGCATTAAAATAACAAGGACTTGTAGTTAATAAAGACACAACTATAAACAACTAGAAGTCTCTTTCATTATTAAGCATGCACAACTAGAACAATTTAAGAGTGAATATTCAGATTCTTGCTTATGCCAAATTGTGATTGATGCAAAGGGAATTCTCGCTTGAACAAAGTATTATTCAGCAACAACAAAGGGCCTAAACCAACAATTTGTAATTTCTGCGTTGATAAACAAATAAAGCCATAAGGAGAGACAAGAATAATTACACACCAGGGACCGTTTTGTTAATCCCTTCATGTCTTCAACTCTCCATCCATAGCATTCTCACCAATACAGCTTTTTTTCTTGCATTTCATGGCAGGTAAACTGACAATTAAACTGATGACCTGTTGGGGCTTTTAAAAATGCTGGCTATAATCAATTTGGGGTACGCACGCGATTTTTAAGCTTGGCATGTTGGGTATCTATTTACTCGGCATAACCTCATCTTTTATGTTTTATTAAAAAAAACATTTTGGGTTTGATAGAGTTGCGCTAAAATCATGCGACATAACATTTTTCAATTGCCACCATTTTATTCTACAGCGTCTGTGCTTTTCAGGAAATATATAACTCTCGGCGGTTTTAAGTAATTTTCAGGCCTAAAATATGGATTATAACATGTGTGCAAAAAAAAGCATTGGCAACTAAATGGTTAAAGGGATAAAATATGGGGAAATGTGCATGTATTGTAGAGATGTACTGATAATGCTTGTTTTATTTTTTGCCTCGACATACACTTTAAAGGAGGAAAGGAGTGAACATGGGGCAGAGTACAGAGAAGATTGCTGACAAACTCCAATGGAGTGCAATAGAGTTGGGGAAAGATGTCCAACTCCCAAAAGTATTAAGGAGAGGGGTTAGAATGTGACAACAGAGTGGAATATGAGGCACATGCTTGGAAGTCAGACACCAAACAGGAGTTGATATGCAGGAAGTGGCTGAAGCCTACAGTGACAATAAAGTAAGCCTGCACATGGATACCACACACAAAAAGCTTGGATTATGTACAGAATTATACTAAAGTCGTGCTGTCAACGAATAGCTGTCAGAAAGAAATGTGCACAACTATGAAAATATAAACAGGATGTAAGAAATAAAGTCTTTCCATTCTGGACATTTCTGACAATTTACGTATACATGCACACATAAAGGAAAAACAAGTCAGAATGCACTAGACTCATTTTTGTACAGCTTGCTTTCCTTTTTCTATCTGTACAAGCCTCTGTCTGACAGTTATTCTTCTATTAACAGCACAACATCCTTATTTATTTCTATCCATACATTACCCAAGCAAAACATCTGTCAGTACATTCCCGTACAATCCTCTTTAATCAAAACAAACCCCAGTGTTACAAAGCAAGGCAGGCTTCCTCTGTAATGGCAATGAAGTGATGATTCAATTACTCCCATTATGGCCATAAATCAACATATCTGAGTAAGTTTTACAAACTGGATTACATTTAAATTATCTGTCCAAGCAGCCGAACTGACAATGACAGAGACAAGTGCAGGGTGTTCTCCTTTGGATTATACCAGATGCTGTACAGTCTCCTGGAAAGGTCTATTTTTGCTTTCGCTCATCACGACACACATCATAGTACGCCATCTGTTAGCATTGTATATAACTGCACTGCCGAGTCATTAAAAAAGACACACATGCATTTTTATGCAGTACATACACAAACATACTTATAGGACTATGATTACAAATATGTGATTAATGCTTGAGATAGATAATACAAAAACTATTTTAGGGTAAGTACTGCAATAACTCAAAATATGTGCTCACAGAGATGCACTAAACGATCCCTTTAAAACTGTCAGAGGGCTCGACAAATTCCAGGCGCCTGGTCGCCAATGTGACTACAAATTGCATCCTGGCGGCCTGGCTTTTGTCAGCCCATTCACTGCACCTTTCTTCTATCGCCCGACGCCCGGGACATGCAGTTCCGGGCGCTGGCGGGTGTTTTTTTCTAGCATTTGACCCCATTTGCAAGTCTAAATGGGGCCTAATAGAGAGAGAATCTCCCTAATGGTGACATAGGCAGTAATAAGAACCTGACGGGGACTCTAACCCCTTACCACTCTATCTAAAAAAAAAACCAGCATTTTGCCTTACGTTATAGAGTTCAAATAAGCTGACACTACTAAATTTGGCAAAAATTACCTATGATCATGAAAAGGTTAATACAAATATGAAACATCTGTATGAAAATAACAGTGATCAAGCTGCAAGTAGCTACTCAGCTGGATCCATAAAAATCATGACACCGATTACTAGAAATCACTTTAGGTTTACACAATAAACACAAAGTAAATAGCAGGCACTGTCAGCTGAGACCGGAATGGAATATTGAAATAGTCTTACTGTTGATGAATAATAATGGCCCCACATGACTGGCAGTAAAATGTGTATTGTTCTTCACGTCTTAGCATCTCCTTAACCATTGGAATATTTTCTGTAAAATAGGAAATACGATAAAGGGTTAAACAATTTATTGAGACTTTAAATAAGTTACAGACTGATAGGAACGTGACGCTACACCGCTGTTCAGACACAAGCTTAGTTAATGACTTCACACATAGAAAAACAACAGGAATACATGCCAAAAAACAAAACGCAGGGCAGGGCAAAGAGACAACAGGCTCACCATAAATGAGCTCCTGCACAGTGCTGATGCACATTCATATGGAATTTTGGGTTCTCAGCTCTCCCACTAAGGCGCCAGTGAGGCACCCATGCCTTCAGGATGCTGGGGTCTAAGGCAAGTATTTTTTTCTTCCATTGGTTTACTTTTTTTTACTTTAATGAGAGTTTTTTCCTTTAAGGGGGATGGGGGACTTACATTTTCAGACAAGGTCCACTTTAAGTACCTAGGCACCTAAAGTTGAAGGTATGAATACAGCATGTAAGTATTTTTTTTCCCAAACCATGGATTTCAAGATCTTCCTGCTGGTGTAACGCATATATGCAGCGGCATGGTGGGTGGGTTTTAATGCCGGTGTTCTATCGAATTCTCCAACTCGTCGAGACCTCCAACTCCCGTCAGTGCGCCTGCGCAGCCACGCAAGTGAGGTATCAAGCTCTACAATCTGCGGCAGTGCCCCTGCGCGGGCACCCGACGCCACAGGCAACGACGGGAGTTGAAAAACTCGATGACAATTTAGAAGCCGCACAGGTGCACCTATGGCAACTGGAGAAGCCAACGGGGATTACAAAAACTGTGAAGGTTGGCGCAGGCGCAGCCTCGTTGAAGTCTACAACGGACGTGACGTCACGAGTTGGACGATTGAAGTCTACAACGGACGTGACGTCACGAGTTGGATGATCTCGACAGAACATCGGGCTGTCGCATATATGTCCACAGAGCTCCACTGTTGTGTGCTTATTGTGCACTGTAATACAGCAGGAAAGAACTGGCAAGACTGACAACACTGCTTGGGACCTCAGCACAGCAGAGGCAGCATTGTCCGGTCACTACATGAAGCTGGGACCACACTGGATTCCTGGTGGATCAACAGGTATTCTTCTCTACTAGCAGCATTTTTAAATAGACAAAATATGGAAAATGTGCATGTAGTACAGCAATGTACTGTATAATTCTTTTCTCATTCTGCCCAGACATACACATTATCTGTGCTATTTTATAAGAACTTCTTTGTTCCTTTTTATCGGATGCAACAAAGTCTCTAAAAAAGGAAAGGCGTGTCGCTCAATAAGGTAAAAGGTTGAGCTGAGAACATTTTTTCAATCCAATTAGCCAAAGTAAAGACGGGACACAATAAATCTGAAGAACGTACAGCAGATATGAAAGTACACGTGTGCCTCTGGATACCCAAGTGTGTCCCCTCTACACCTCCTATCACTGCATTCATGTCACTGCTGAAGCAGGAGACCTCAACCTGAATCACATGCTGTAGCAGCAGGCACAAAATCAAACGGAGGCCAATAAGTTTTAAGAACTCTACAATTCTTTTGCAAGTATAAAAGGGCCAAAGGGACTCATATTATTTTCAGCTAAGATAGTGTCGGAAGCAGTTGTTCAATAGCACCTTTCTCTCTGTGATGCTCATTAGAAGAACTGTAGGTTGGGAAAATGATTGATTTTCTTTGCTGCTGGAGCACTCCTGAATTAGAAGAAGAGGAAAAAAGCTACAACCAACGTGAGATTACACAAGGAAACAGTGCCCTCAGCTGGCCAAGCATTACAACCAGAGCAAGCCTTTCATTCTGAACACATTATTACGGAATATGCTGACCTATTGTACATTATATGCCATATTAATGTCCCAATACTTAAGCTTTAAAAGAGCTAGCCTTGAATTTATAGCATATCTAAACCCAAAAACAAAAAAATTATATATTGCAGCTTGCCAGTCCCTAGAGGAGGTAGCTACATTATTTTTAAGGCTTTAATTTTAACCTGTGCTCAGTCCGATAATACATTTCCTGTCATACGGTGGCTACACTCACTTCTCCACTGTACCTAGGGAAAACAACAGAGCCACCCTTAGCAGCATTGTCAATGTGTGGAGAAGATAGTGTTAGATGGATGGACGGTATATACACTAAATACCAAATGAAAGCCCAAATTCAGATTACAGCAGCAGTTTTTTTTTTCCTTTTGTGATAAAAGTTTTACATAAATAGATTAAAAATGACCATTGTAATTACCCCTGCCAGTGTTAAATGGTTTGTCTGAACCTTCCAACTAACACTACTTCTGGACAAAACGTTTTTTTTAACTCTTGGCTATCGTGTTACAAAGTCGGGGCGATACCATGTTGGGTTACCAGACAGTGTGGCCTCTTGTTTGTTGTTAAAGCGTGATGAAAACGTTTGCTTGAGAGTACATATATCCCTTGTTTTAGTTATCCTAATAAACAATTTTACACACGGAGTTGGCGCTCTGTTCCCTTTTGTTCACTACTTCTGGACAGCTTGATCTGCTAAAGGAAGTTCAAAAATAACAGACTTAACTGGCTGGATGAAGGAGGTAATAAAACTATTACTGAAGGGACAGTTGTCATTAGCACTGCTGTGCTAATGACAGCGACAGACTATCATATATGTTGCTTTTTTAATCATGCCCATAGTTTACAACTTTAAGGATGTGCATTGGCCAAATTTAAAATGTAAAATGTTACTAAACTCAGTGGTTAAATCCTAAAAGTGCATTCATGTACTTTAACTATTTACAAAAATGTAACTTATTTGTGTATCACTCAGCTGTAGATCCTCAAATAATCTCTGAATTGGTGCTGACAGTGTCCTTCCTTCTGGAGGGTGGCTACATTTCTTCCCCATGGTCCCTGTGTGTTGTAATGTAGCCACTGCACCAAGCTCGCTTCTTTGTTGGACTACAACATGGGTAGGCAACCTTGGCACTCCAGCTGTGGTGAAACTTCAAATCCCATTATGCATCTGCCTCTGGGAGTCATGTCTGTAGATTGCAATGCCTCATGGGCTTCGTAGTTTCCCCACAAACTGGAGTGCGGAGGTTGCCTACCCCTGAACTACAATTGCAATACAAATTAGTAAACTAATTGTGAGATTGTAGTCCATCATGGGAGCGTCTGGTGTGTGGTGCCCTGGCACGGTGCCAAAGTTATGATCTCGGCGCATCACACAGTTTTCTTTTTTTGTTGTTGTTAGGTCTTTTAAATGTCACAAGCGACATTTCATTCAGTTATACGAGCACAGTGGGGTGTAAGGAGGCTGTGCTGTGTAGCAGCCTGCTGCATTAAAACAAAGTAAGGCATGCCTTTTTTTTTCTTCAGCGCACATCACCGTGTTCCTACCGCAACATAATGGTTTGAATGGGCACCATCCGTGTCAAAGCAAATTGCCTTATCTTGTGTTGGGGCTGTGCTGGAAACAACGGCCAGCGCAGCTCCAACTGGGTGTGAATGGACCCTTAATGGAAACTTGTAATGAGAAGCATTAGTGGGCACTGATTTTGCCTTCTGAAAATGCTAGATGTCAGCTTGTCATCAAGCTGGCCATCTAGCTTCAACACATTGAGTCACTGACCTGGAACACATGTATCCTATGGCTGGACGAATCCCAGAAGCCGTTGCTCCTTAAACATTACAGTTGGTGCCTAATTTTTGAAGTTTTTAATAGTGGTCAATAGAGCTGACTTCTAAACAACTTCCTGTAAGCTCCTGGATTTCATGTAAATTTGTCCACCCTTGATGTATCAGGAGATCTTTCTTCCTCCTGACTTCACTGGCTGTATACCGATACTTGTTTAAAAGAAGAACTCCGAGAAGAAATGCTTACATCTAAACTGCACCCTTACAATCCCACTGCATTTCTTTTTACACATTACCCTCACTGAAAACAATTGCTGGTTTCTAAATCCCCAAAGCTTTAAAGAAGAGCTCCAGGCATATCAAATCTTAACTACCCACTGCAAGGGTTAAGCTAAAATAATAAAGATATACTGACCCGAACCTCAATACCAGCTGGCTGCTATAGCAGTCCCTGCAGCCTTGCATGCCATATGCCTCAGGTCTAAAACAGGTCTATTAGATGTAGTGACTCACGGGACCTTAGACTGCCGGAGCGGAAGGGGAGCAAGGCTGCATGGACCAGTCTAGCAACTAGCTGGAAACAAGGTTCGGGTTAGTATATCTTTGCTATTTTAGCTCCCTAGACAAAACAAGCACCTAACCCTTGAAGTGCGGGGGGTAGCCCCACTGTAAGGGTTAATTTTTCATATGCTGGGAGTTCTTCTTTAACAGCTACTAAGCTGTAGAAAGAAAAAAAAATCAATCTGTCTCTTTAATTCCCCTCCCTCCTCTATACCTCCATGCTCTAAATCATACAGAGAATGATGACACCCATATGATCTGCAATACTTGCAGGAAATAACCACATCCTTAAAATGCTGGGATTCACCTAACTCCCTTATGCCCAGAGAAAAGCAGACACATATGCCAAAAGAGAATCATTCTGGTTGTAATTGCCAGGGATATCTTTGCATATTGATGAGGTCTTAATCAAATCTCTTTATGTACAAGAATGTTTAACTTCAATATAAATTTCAGTAGGTCATGAAACTGTATATTACTTTCTGGCTTAACCATACGTCCCTCCATAAAGAATGCCAGGCAACTATTTTTCAGGAGTTGAGGAATGGCAGCCTTCACATTCCTTTCTTTGTACAGGTTTCCTTTGAGTGTTCCATGATGGAAAATAAAACAAAACAGAATATAGAACCTACCTTGTGGGAGCTGCTTGCCTACAGACTAAATATTATATTTTTCTGTGTATATTCTGAACCTGTTGTACTCTTTCTTTGAGGATCCTGAACTCAGCTAAGGCTTGCATGTGTTTTTTAATGAAATAATGCATGGTAAACTAAAATAATTTCAGGGCCTTCTCAGAAATTCAGATAACATTCTTTCTAAGAAATTATCTCAAGGATAAGTCAACTGGGCAAAACATTTG